GACCTTCTCAGGAACTACATTAGTTAAGCCCCTTAACAACACCATGTTCAATAAACAACAAGGGTTCTTCCAGACAGACTCGGCGCCGGGTCCTAAAATTCGGTCCACGAAGTCTTGGTTGGAAACGAACGTTTCCGACTTCATCAGAGCTAAAGACTGGTCGTCGTCTAATCCCGATCTTAATCCGCTGGATTATGATTTATGGTCAGTTTTAGAGAGTAGGGCTTGCTTCTATTGATAACTGCCTTCAACGTTTAAAGGACTGTATTGCAGCCAATGGCGACCACTTCGAATAATTTTGTGTTTTAAATTGTTTTATGTTTATGTCTTAAACTGCAAAAATAATAAATGTTATTTTCAAAAGGAAAAATATATATATTTTTTTGTAACAATATTTATGGCTAGACCATGTTTATATCGATATATGAATAGACCTAATGAACTATCTGTACTGTTCAGGGTTTTATTATTATGTAGATAGATAATATATATTGATGTTTGTTTTAAATTGCCGTGCAAAGTCTTTTAAACTGTAAGGAAAAAATATAATTGAATGAAATTACTCATATTTAGGTTTCTAGAATTACTTCTGTAAAAATATAAATTATCCTAAGCAATGTCAAAAATTTTTCGTTCAATAAAAGATGGGCTTCAGAACAAACTATTTCATTTAAGTCATATATATGTCTAAAATATAAATATATATATAGAAACTTGGCCCTTATTATGATTATTTCCTTCTTCTATAATGGCGTAGGTTGACGGGCAATAGGAAAATAATTGACACTTGACGTATCGGTTACCGACGTCATAATTCAAACTTGTATTAATTAGCACATACTACAATTAACTACACTCAATAACCATGGATCAATTACAACGTTCGTATTCAATATTAATCGAAATCACACGACGTTCCGGGGACAACATGGTGTATGCCTCACACAGCGGATCAGTTCGCCGATCTTACTACCATACATCCAGTTCCCCGAGTTACTTCAAGCGGACCGTCACCTCTTTTCGTTAGTGACGTTCGCTTTTACTAAATAGGTCCTATTATCTATCGTAAAAATAATCAATTTAATTTCTAAAGTCACAAATGCGCCGTCATATATATATTTATACAAGCTGACTAATTTCTTTATTAAGTATAAATGTTCTGTCTTCTTAATATGATTAGTGAACACTAATTGGTACATTAATAAATCGACATTATTCCAAAAGAAAAGTGTTTATTCTAACTACGTGCATATTACTACGAGTGCCACATCATTTTTATAAAAAAGTGAAATGTTCTACTTTTTTCTAGTAATTTTCGTATTTTTTTCTTACATAAAAACTTTCTCCTAATAATAACAAATAAAACAAAAAAAAGAATTAGTGAAATCGGTCTAGCCATTCACGCGCGATATCGTGACCAAGGGAAGAAGGGATTCATTTAAATATATATTTTATTATTAAGAGTTTAAAATATTTATGAATCTATAATTTGTACTTTTATTTCTTAATGATAAAAAACAGATATACCAAGATATCTATCTTCTTAACTTCTTTCAATAAAAAATCGCTGGCTAACTCTACAAACATTCATACCATTCAAAAGTTTGTAGTTTGTTTAATTGGTTCCCTGAAATTGATATCATTACATTAAATAATGTAAACTATACAAGCTCTCATAAATGTAATTGAGTAAATTATACTAATAAATAGTAAAAACACTGAGGAATATACTTTTCAACAATCTCAAACAACAATTATTTTTAAAACAATAAAGAGAAAAGAACAAAAACTGACCCCAAAGGACTCTTAAGTCAATTGAAGCAACAACCTCTCGCCATTTAACTTCTGACTTTTAAATTTAAAGGTGACGTTCCTTGCGATTCTAGTTGTAAAGTTTTGTACTGGGAGTAATATATTTTAATTTGCCTTTACCTATACACTTAATCAGTTTTTATTTTTTATTATTTGAATCAAAGTTTAAATATGTTTTAACAACAGTACAAAGTTGTTTTTGATTAAATAGCGTCAGAAAATACAAAAATTAATTCATGAAATCTCACTCTTTTTCGTTAAAGAAAAAAAATATTTTAAAGTTATCATTTTTTATAATGCTAGTAAGTAAATTATTTTCATTGGACTTATATGTCCATATCTGTCCAAATTACTAATATCAAATTATGGTCAAACGAATTAGAATTTTTATTTACTTATTAAAATTATAAAACCACTTAAAAATTAGAATCATAAAGTTTATTGTTTCTGTTTTCACCATTTAAATTAAAATATTTGCATTTAATAAATGGTTTTTGCAGTATTCTTCTAAGCAATTACAGTATTATTTGCCGACAGTTTTCGCAAATTTATCATGGTGCAAATAATTTTTGTTGTTGCACAAATCTGTATATTTTAGCGAATTGCAAAAATACTCCTTAATAACAGTCCTTCTCTGGTTCAAGAACTCGTGTAATCGAAGAAACTTAACTATATTGATACCTTTTTTCTCTCTTTGGATGATGCTAAAATGCAATTCTAATCACGATTAAATGCCACTTGGATTACGCAGGCCATGCGCAGTTTCCATCTTCATGGCCCTGTTAGATTTTTTAATATCAATTAATGTTACTTTGATTCAAGTAACATTCACAGTATTCCACCGTCAATAGTTCACAAACGTCCTTGCACAAAATTTTGTCCATGTTACAAAAAAACCGTGAAGATTCCTTGATCCATTATCTGGAAAAAGCTTAAATTGAAGAAAAGCAATAGTTCGTGTACCCCGCCTGCCATCACTGCGGGGGTGGCGTGGAGGACTCGGCGCAGCACACGCGTGAGTCATGCCCAGCGTGGGGCAGCCTTCGCGCTGCTTTGACTACGGTCATAGGGAGGGACCTCTCGTTGCCGGCTATAATCTCGGCTATGGTCGGCAGCGAGGAGGCATGGGAGGCGGTGGCCGCTTTCGCCGAAGCGGTCATCAGCGCGAAGGAGGCAGCGGAGCGGGCCAGGGAGAGCAACCCAGAGGCCCCTGCCCTCCGTCGTAGGCGAATTGGTCGCCGGCGCCAAGCCTATCTGGCCTCTTTACAGCCATAGGTTAAGTGCCGGGCGACGTGATCCTGGGTGGCAGACGGGGACTTCTGTCGCCCGTTGATAGGATCAGTGCGGTGCTAGCCCCTCTTGTTCCGGGGGCGGCTCGCGATGGTGGTTTGCGGGGGGATTTGTCCCCCCTAGGTCGAGGTCCGGAGTGGACAAGCGCCGGCAGGGTCGCGAGGCAAGCTCTTGGTATACCGTGGCCCTGCCTAGGTGGCGTGGATGAGGAACACCCAGGGGTTTTAGTGGGTCGAAACCCCACATAACCCGGTCAAGTCCCTGCTCGGCCGGGTATCTGTGAACAGATTTCCCCTGGGAAAACAAAAAAAAAAAAAAAATAGTTCGTGTAAACAAAATCACTGTGAAAAGTTTACTCAGCACTCAATATAAATAATTTTGTCAGCTTAAATTATTGAGATGACTACTCCATACTCGTATAACGACATACATAAAAACTAACATCAAATAAACTTAACTCTCAAAAATTTAAGATTCCGGATACCCTTCGAACAGATCGCTACTGTATAACATATTTATTTTTCTAGGTAAATATTTGTATATGGATTTTTATAAGGACATTTGAACTTTTGTTACATGTTGACAAATATTTGCAGCTTTTCAAATGAAAACAAAGAAGGCACGAATCACATTATGCTCCAAGCCTGTGCGAAAGAAATAAAACCATTCCCATGATTGCTTTGAATTTTGTGTCGCTGTAAAATTGCCTGAGTGTCGTGGAGAAGATGCTCGAGAGTGATAGGTCCTGGAAGGCGGTGTCCTCCTTCTGTGAGACAGTCATGTCCACGAAGGAGGCATCTGAGCGGAAAGGGAGAGGGAAGCTGATGCTCCCTCCCTCCGCAGGCGACGTACGGGGGTGGGACGGAGGCAATTCCAACGCCCCCAATAGCACCCCTGTGTTCCGGGCTGGGGTCGGCGTGGTAACCCGGCTCTAATGAAAGCCCGGCGTCGTCGGGGCGGTCCTAATTGCCGGGATCGCCCCCATTCTCCGAGGGAGTAATTCCGGTCTTTGCCAGGACCGGCCAGTCGCTGGTGTGCCCTGTCGCTGACAGATCCGGGGTACACTGACATAGCGGCCAATGGGTTTCGCAGTGGTTTTAGTGAGTAGGGGCCTGCCCAGGCCGAGGCTCACACATCCCTTGCGGCCCCACCAAGGCCGGTTGGACGGCTCGTAAAAAGAGTTTCCCTGCGACATAAAAAAAAAAAAGATTTAATCGGTGTTATGAAAGTATGCAAAATCTTATACGACTTAAATATTTATGTCCCCAGCCAAAATCTTATTTATTCTTATAAATAATATTTTATAATTATTCTTATCTTGGATGTTTGCTTTTGGTGACACGTTGTATAAAGATCGATCTTTTTTTCTTGATTTGGTTAACTAAAAATAAGGCAACTTTTATTAAATTGTCAGTTTTATAAATATAAAAAAAACTTCCAAAAATAAAGATCAGTTAATTATTTCAATACTAATCTAATACTTAGAAGTCTAATTTCTTATTGTTCAAAAAATTTATTAAAATAAATTAAATTTAACAAAATTTACCAAAATACAAAACATATGCATGAATAAATTCTTTATATAATAATAATTCATTATTAAATATATAGAGCTCATATAAATTGTATGCTTTGAAAATAATATAATTATATAATGCTTTTATTTTTATATGGTTTTTGGGCATATTTCATAGTAAATATTTCCCAAATATATTATATTCAAGGGTGGCTTGATATCACAACAGACTCAATTGTTTTACTCGAAAGCATTCACGAGCTCGATTATATTATCCTCCTCACTTTTGTGGTTTTATTGTTCATAATTTTCTTATGTGGGCGTCTATCGGTGGGAGACGTAGGATCAAGAAAACACACTCAATCAACCACGGTATATTCAATCAGTAATACAGTTCAAGTATGAGACCGGACTGCGCGATGGTTCTGTGGCCGCACGCGCCGAACGCTGGAGAGAAGTGATGTCCCACGTTCCCCTCTAGGCTCTGGCGCACGCTTACACAAACTCCATCGAGTGCCGCTACTGGCGCTGGCGTTCCGGATTCCTAACGTAGTCTCAAAGTATACTACTACATAGATGGCGTTCACCGCAATAATTAACCCGGTTGCGACATATACATATATTTGAAGGAGAAATATTTACATAAGAAAGACAAGCACAGTTGTTAAGGAGATACTTTGTACTAATGACAACGGGTAATGGACCTACTAACTGCATTTGTATAAAATTGCATATGTAAAAAGGAACCGAGGGATTAATTATCTCGATAATAGTATAACATAACGGTGGAAATTATTATAAAAAAACCTTGTTAAATGTCTCTTAGTGGGTTTGTGGGTAATTTATTAACGAAAATTATTTTTTTATTAAGAATGTAATATTGTGAAAGCCGACTACAAGTATAGTTCTTTTTCTATATACAAAAAGGGTAAATTGTAGATTATGTTGCAACTAAAATGTGATACGACAAAACTAGTAACAAAAGTGACAAAGCAATTAACTAAGTTATGTCTCCAAATCGTAAGTGTTTAGTGTGGATTACTTGTTCAAATATGTCACTGTTAAAGTGTAAAATTATTTCTTTCTTAGCATATCAAAACATTTATGTATTTTATTCTTATTACTTTATGCTGCAGATAATAGTTGTATTTAATAAATCGCATTGATAAAAATAAATTTTTAATGATGGCTAATATTATTTGAAATAACATATATTGTTTAAAATTATTTAAGACAGTTTGTCATAAAAACATAGATATTGTAATCTATATTCGTATATAGATTTTGTTTCACTTTTATGGAAATCTGTAGTAGCAAATCAGCGCTTGTTTTGAAGTTATAATATCTTTTCACACTCTGCTCATGTATTTGATTTTGAGGTCTTTGGAATATTAACTTACCGTCCAATCAGGACCGTAACAAGTTTCGTATTTTTATCAATAGGCTGTGATTTTTGTTCTTATTTACGAGTATTTTTTTTAGAGTCACATGTTTTGCTTTAAATAGGTGTATTACAGTATTACATTGAAGAAATATTACTTATAGTTTGCTAGAGACAGCAAACTGAAATTGTTTTATTCTAAAGAACAAGATAAGCTACTTTAAAAATAATAGAAATCTCTGTATAACTTAACAGATTGAAAAGTGCTCTTACACCGTGAGAAAATCTAATTTCATGAATTCGTTATGATTTATTAAGTGATTTTGATAATCTTCAAACAACAAAGCACCGAAAATTAAGTGATATGTATACTTATTTCGATGTGTTTAAATCCTTTTCAACTTTTAAGCCTTAAAATATTTTAGTCTTAACGCAGAAATGTGACGTATAATCAATGAATTATAAATAATATATAGTAAATAATATACAAAAACCATAGTAATTTACCAAAAAAGCTTATGTTCACAAGGATTTTAACCTAAAACTTAAAGACGGATTGCATAACAGTCCAATTCATGTATTAAACTAATATGTCCTTAGAATCTTTTGATAATTAATAAATAAAAAACTTTCATTTTAATAACATGTAAGTATTAAGTAATCAACATCGTATAGTATGTTTTTATAATATATTGCATCATTATAAATATTTACAAAGACATGCCACAAGACAACGTTAAACCTGTCTGACATCACAGCTGTCAGTAGATAGAGATTATTAAACTCACATCTCACTTGCATAATGCAAAATCTTTGTCAGACACTCAGACTGATTAATTGATCCATTATATTACAAATTATTTAATAATTAATAAGACTAACGTGCTTTAGTTAGAGCTTAATAAGATGTACGGCAATGTAGGCGTATGTAGTATGTAGGCAATATACTAAATAAATGTGACGAGAATATCCATTACACTTAATCTTTCTTATATTTAGTATATTATAAATATAAAATCAAAATTACTCAAAATCTACTTGCTACTACATTATAAACCAAATTTAACGACAATAAATTCAAGTAAATTTTTCTTTTTTCAACAAATATTATTTGTTGAAAAAAGGAAAATTTACTTGAATTTAACTAAATCTATGAATGAAATAGCTTTCTCAACAAAAAATATTTTTTTATTTCTTAAAATTTCAACCCGTTCTTTACAATAATTTTAATATAGGTACTTAAGTCCGCATTAAACAAGTATATCAATGAATTTCGTAAAGTATGATGCGTTCAGTGAGGTGACATGCTCCTTTGCCTGAAATGTCAGCCAAACAGCAACCCAAACCGAAACACACGTTTGGCCACACGTAGTGTCAATCATTTGATGGGGTTACTTCTCTGAATTTCAGTTTTGTTTATGTAGTGGTATTTATTTAATAAGTAATCTACATACATTAAAAAAAATGTTGTATTAGTTACACACTAGTGTAACTAATACAATACACTAGTGGAACTATCCAATTCAAGAACTCCAGAACGTAGGGATAAGGTTGAAAAATAGATTATATTTAATTCCGTTCGATCAAAAAGGAAAAAGATAAAAAAATTCGAATATCTGGTTGTTTATGGCCCTTCGAGAGAAATAGAGTTCCTCTAGTTGGTTATACATATAGTATATCTAATTCCGAAATTAACGTCCATAAAGTGACGGGCAAAAACTATTTAAAATAAATTATCAATTAAAAAATGTATAATAAACAATTAGAAAAAATAAAATCAAAAATCAGATAAAGTTATAAATACAAAGTCATAGATGATTAAAAAATTCAAACATTAAGTGAACAAATATCATCCGTTTAATTTCTTCTTTGAGGTTGGAATTAAATTATTTTTTGTCAATCTCGAAATATAAATTTTCCGATAAACAAAATATCAAATCGGACTATATTATGTCAAAAGTAAGTAGACATATACAGAAAAAATTCGTCTGTTAAAAAATTATACAATGATGTACGAGCTTCACGGACTTTATTATTTCTAGTAAAGGTGTCCCCCACTTAATTTTTTATTACATGTATCCATACAAAGAATAATACATTTGTAAATATAATTTTAAAAGAATGCTGAAAGGGCTATATACAAAATATTAAAGGTCTGTTCATTGCACCTTTTTCGGGTTGGACAGAATAAAGATAAAATGTTAACTAACGTAGCTAAAATGCTATTTGTGAATAATAACTGATGTTAAAAGTGGATATCAAATTTTAAATTATTTAACGACATTTGAGAAGGATTCGTATATACACCGAAAAAATTACTAAAGTGTTTCTTTGATTTAAAGATAATTTTAGTAAACTGATGTATATAGAGAAACCATTATAATAATACTGATTGAATAAAATGTAATTGGTTCCACTCCAATGCAATAAAGACATAATTTCACATGTACTTAAATCATCGCGGGGATTAATTAAATTCATAAGCACCCTCGTTAAGGCGATAGGGTGGGATCGTGCCCTAAAGTTAAATGGAATGTAACCGCATTTCACTTCGTCTGTAGTGATACCTATACATGTCAATTTTCTACATTGCTTCCCTTTTTATAAAGATTTATATACTATATTTTAGGACCCGAAACAGTCTCTTGAAAAACACAAATATTTTTATTAAATAGCATTATACTATATAAATTGTATTTTATATGACGTTGGCACGATGATTACTTCAAAGAAACTTAAACATTATAAGCAATAATTATTGGATGTTTTCTTTTCAGGTCAACGAATTACGAAGCATGATGAGGTTCACGAAGTTTCCCTTGGTAAGTATTTATGTAAAGTGATAATTTTTACAGATATGAAGCTCATACGTCCTATTTTTGCATGATTATGTTTAAATTAATGCAAAAGCTCTGTACTAAACGTAAAGCTTTAAAAAGTGTCTTCGGTATTTCGGCAATAGTACGTAGCGTCGAAAAATATAATAGTTTAACTATGATCCTTATTATAATTTAAGTAATAAAGTGGAAAAAATTAATACCTAAGAAAGTATTACAAATACGAAAGAATTCATTATTTTTAAAACAGTTTTTTTTTATTAGAAATCGTTTAATAGCTTTATATTTTTTTGCTTTGAAATATTTAACGACACAAATTAGTAGAACTGATGTTCTAGACAGTTAAATTAACTCCAGTTCATGTCTTATAATTTTTTTGTTAGGTTGCTATTTCAGAGATACTAAATCAAAAAATCTTTCTTCCCCTTTTCCAAGACAGCGGCTGGGGGACAATAACTGCGACCCCACAAATTGATCCTAAGCCTATTTTCTAACATCCCCTACACCCGAAAATATAATTTTTGACTACTTTGAGAAACTCAAGGTAAGGTCTAATACATTTATCAATTCAATGGATTATTATCTGTATTTTACAAGCTTTTATTTCACCTCCAATATACAGGGTGACTGGTGAATTACTATCAATATTTAAGGAGAGTACTCAGTACATGATTCTCATTCGAATTATGTAAAAAAAATAGGCACTTAATTTTTGACAAAATTTCCGTTAAAATAAATAAAGTGTTGACACGTTCCAAGTGTTCCGAGTGTGAACGCGTGCGGCGGCGTGCTGATACAACACTACGCCGCAATACGCGTATGTGTGAGTGTGTGTGTATACCTAATCTGTAGGGTGTTCACACGATGCGTAATTAATTACATAACTTTTGGTTAACTATACTTAAAAGTTTATTAATATTTATGTTATATTAATTTTTATTTTGTCATATATGATCGTCAAATATCACGTCCTCAAATATCGATAGCAATTCACCAGTCACCCTGTATACATATGTGTAGGCAAGTTCGGATGAAATCTCGCTTGTGAATTTGAAGCAGAATAAATGACAAATTGAAAAATGTGTCCAGCGATAGCTAAAAACTCAAAAGATAAATTAAATTATTATAATCTTCTGAAATAACTTAGCATCAGTATAATATATCTACATAATATACGTGTATTATACTGCTGCCACACATTAACAAGGAAATTTTTGAATTAACCGGTAAGAATTTTCTAGAAATATTTGTATGTTTTATAAGACTTATTTTTTTTAGTGAAAAAATAATTCAGAGATTTATTTCCGAGGTAAGTTTTATTCATTTACAGAAAAATAAGGAAAGAAATTAAATAAATGTATATGCATATAACAACTTGTATAAAAGTTGTTTCAAGTTTGACTTATGGCGATACGAAATTTATGTCGAAATATAAAGCATATAAAATGTTATTGTCATCACGAGTGAATTTCGCTCCAAACAGAAATTGATACTGTGGTTCGCCATGTGAGTAAAAACTTTGCCAGTAAATTGAGCCTACTTTGTACTTAATTTGTTGTCATTGATGAGATTAATCTTAGAAACAATATAATAAAAACGATTCAAAATTATTAAAATAATGTTTAAAATTTACACGATATAGAACCATATGTAGTAAAATATTTCCTTATAATCATATATTAGACCTTGAGTTTCTTTAACAAATTAAAGTATGCATAACAAGAACTCTTACGTCGTTATTTAAATGAACAAAATAAATCTCATTTAGGTTCCACTTCATATCACTTGTTAGAAAGAGACGAAACTTCTCAGCATTCCATGGATTCACCGTGTGGGTGCCGGGTCCATCGCGTTGCGGGGAGAGGAGCTTCAACAGTGCCTGGGACTTGCGACCCAAGTGTAGGTTTAAGGGGCCCCTTAACTAACGCGCGTTATACGCTCACCTCCACTGTCCAAGTTTCTCTCCCTACCTAACCAAATTTGAAAAGAACCTACTAGGGCTGCCTTCGATGTACGTTCCAAGAATGCATTAATGTCAGTTCTGGACAAGCCCAAGACCTTTAGTAGGTTGTAGAGAGATTTCGCTGTTATACCTCTCGCTCCTACCTCTACCGCGTACAAATCTACTACGAACCTATTTCGAGTGAGTTCGTTTGTGAGCTCGTAATACTTGTTGACCTTGATGGTATGGTCTTTGGGGATGTTGGTTTCCCAAAGGACCGTAAGCTCTATCATCACTACGCGCTTTAAAATTCGCGAAAACAAAAATATATCCGGTCTGGAGGCCGACGCACAAATATCCTCGGGGATTTTATATTACTTTTCATACGTGTCCATCATTACAGTTCAATCCGACGCCGCTTTAAGGATGGAGTAAGGCTTGACGTTTGATTTTGTAGCCCTAGTGCCTTCTCTCACAAAACCTACTGATCGTTCGTTTGTGGTTATTTCCTTTTGCGCTCTGGCTACCGAAAGACTAACCGCCTCACGTATGACTTCTAGAACCCTATCGTGACGACGCGAGTATTGACCGCTGTCCAGGAGTACCTTACATCCATCAGCAAATGCTTAGCAGTTCCAACTGTCTTTCCACAGATATGGCAAGTTTTTTCGGTACTTTTACCCCATCTTACTAAATTAATCTGATCTGGGAAAGTTAACTGGAACGCATTGAGATGGAATTTTAGCAATGCTGGCGACCAATCATAAATTAAAGTGCGCCATTTTAATGCTAATGGGATGCAAAAATCTCCTATGTCTAACCACTCGTTCTGCATTTCTAAATTCATTGCATGGATCTTATATTTATCATTCTCGTCTTGCCGAATAAAAGACTTCAATATATCCGCATCTTGGACTTTCCTATTTGATCCTAACCCTACTCTGTTACTTTGTGCTCCTATCATAAACTGCTTATGGAATTGAAGCCGCGATTCTAGCTCGGGGGCATCTTCATCTTCTGGGAGCAATGTCACTACGTAATCATGGGATTTCCCCAGGATATATCTCTTGGAAACTCTTAGGTGTTCATACCGGAAAGTTTCTACCTGCGAGTTCAATTCCTGCTTCGAGCCCGGATGCTCTAACAGGACCGCTAAGTTGTCGTCATGAACTTTCCAAGTCGATTGTTTTATATTAGGAATGCTAAGACGTGTCCTGATGTTAATGGACTCCTGGTGGTTTTCAGTTAATGGTTCACCATGGGATACATGAGGGTCAACTCTATCCGAAGTTAAAGTTGGAGAACTTACCGACGATTGTCGTGCTTTAACACCATTATGTGTTTTTAGATGTTTAATGTACCAGGCTCGTCTCTTGTAATTTTTCCCGAACGTAGAACATTTCAAGTCCGTATTCGCGCCGTTTTCGCCGTTAAAATCGACCGGTGGACAGATCTTCCGCTCCCCCTCTCAGATTGTCCCAGGGGTATTTTTCTTAATCGGACTTTTAGCTTTATGTATATCGGGCTGGGCTTGCTAGGCCGTTAGCCTCGGCTGTCTTTCCAGCAGTCATCCGTCTTTCCGGCAGTCATCCGTATTTTTGGCAGTCAGCTGTCTTTCCAGCGTCAGCCCGACTCTCCGGGCAGTCGTTTTAAATGAGACGAAACTTCTCAGCATTCCATGGATTCACCGTGCGGGTGCCGAGTCCATCGCGTTGCAGGGAGAGGAGCTTCAACAATGCCTGGGACTTGCGACCCAAGTGTAGGTTTAAGGGGCCCCTTAACTAACGCGCGTTATACGCTCAATATTATTGAAATAATATAAACGTAATATGTTAAAAATATTCATGGTAGAGTAATTTTACCTATCGGTTATTCCTTGAAATAGAAGTGTTAACCTAACATACTGAATAAAACTGAAATATAAGTTTTTGAGTGAGTTGTGTGTGTATAACCTTGTCTTAGAATACGAAGAGTCAATCTTTACAATATGATAAAAGATAAAAAAATAATCCATATAACATTCAAATTACAATAGTAAAAACAGCATCAACTAAATTCCTTTTGATATATTAAGTAAATAATATAATAAAAATAATTAGATAAAATATGTTAATATTATTATAAAAGAAAATACAGTTCAATTAATAATAGCAATATTTATTTAGTGTTTGATCAATGTGATTTTATAATGAGTTTCTATTTTTATGAAAAGATAAATAAAAAAAACCAGAAGTTTTAAAGAAAAATTCACATAATCCCTATTAGTAAAGAGTAATTTTCATAGTCTTAAAACTAAACTTTTTATATAAAAGTGTTTTGAAATTCTGACTATTTGTAATTATGAAAATTAATCCATCAACAGAATTGATTTCAAAAGTTATTTTTAGCCGTCCTTGGGTGTCTTCTGTTCAGATCACCAGCGAACACTCAGACACAATATGCCAAAATATGTAAAGTAAGTAATAGCGAAGAAAATGAAAAATAAAAAGAGTTACTTGTAGCCATTATATGAGAAAAATGCAGAATAATTAATACTATGTATTAACGCCATCAAAACCAAAAATATTTTTCTCCCGAATTTCTTTATTCTTCCGTTTCTTAAAAGATGATTTTATGTGTGTTATATTTATGTACATAATGTAAAATTTTAAGACATTATTTTTTTTTATTTGTATTTCAAAAATCCGTTACTTTTTCTTTTGAATAGATTTAGGTTAAAACCTACCAATATCTATTTGCCGGCACTTTGTACGTAATAATTAGATATTAACTAATTATTCAAAAAATGTACATTAGATCCTATCAAATCAAACGTGATCAGTCTGTCACAGCAATATTAGACTCGTAATCAAACCACAAATTCAAATAAATTACAATAAACTTTAAAAAATGTATTCATCTTTTGGGTCTTATTTTGAATAAAATAAATAAATTGGAATGAAATCTTTTATGACGTCAGCAAAAATATTTTCCAATATAAAATTATTTAATAATAATGTTCAAAACAATTTATTTATCGCTTCATATCAGGCTGACAATACGTTTAGCTAAAAAATAACATGATATTTAAAAGTCAACCCTATTCTATTGAACTATATTAAATTTGGGAGTAATGCCATTTTATTATCTGAAATTATAGCTAAGTGGCTACTTACAAAGTAGCATTTGTTTTATTTTTATATGTTCTATTTTGAATACATGGAACACAAAGGTTTAGGTCTATATGTTACATACACCATTTTACAAAATTTTTTTTTTTTTAACCACTACATGCCTTTCCAACCCAAAAATTATAATGTTTAATATTTATGTTGTGGTTATGTTATTAAAATTTTGGTTTGTTTTTCAGAATAATTTTAAAAATAAACTTATAACAAAATATTCTACTTATAGTCCAGTCATTTAAGCTTAAATTAGGTAAGAATCTCGGAATTCGAGATACCCAGCTGTAAGTCTGTAAATAGTTGTATATTGACACCCTAAACGTTGTCTCAAAACCTACATATGGTAGGGTGTAAGCAACTATTAAATTTCAAGGTCAAAGTTCACAAAAATCGGTTTTTTGCCCTTTTTTTGGAGATCTCTCATTTCCTATGGGTTTTTTGCTATTTGTATTTATTATCAGTATTGTAGAATACTAAATTCTCTACAAATTTTGTATCAAAATTTTTTTATACGGTATACCGTTTTCGAGATAGAGGGCGGAGAGCGCGCGGTCACCGCATCACTTCAGGTCAACCGGTGCCTCCGGTCGAAAACGCGCCATATATAGTTGATGAACTATCAATAAATCAATGATTATAAATATTTGTCAATTTCTATTAACTATTATATTATATTTTATCATTTTTTTCCTAACTTATCCACTTTTTATTCAGCATTAATTTATTTAACAACACTTACCTGTCCATGTAATTGCAGAATTGTTAATGAAAATATAAGAATTATATTTGAATTTTAACTTCATTAATATTAATAATTTCTTACATGATGAAAAAAAAAACAAATAAATTATGAATTAATCTTTTTATTAAAGAATATCATTGAATAAATTATTTTTTATTGAAAGTAAAAAAATGGAATAAAGGGTACAAAAACTACAATTTATAATTTTAAACATCTTCTTCCTCTTCATCGTCGTCTTCTGGCTGCTGGTAAATTTCAAACTGGTCTTCATTATCGTCTTCAACGACATTTGTCTCAAGTTCTTCCATGATTTCGGGATCAAAGGTTCCATCTTCGTTAATGCCGCTCTGATATGGTTGAGCATTGAGACAAGCTTGCCCATTACATTGGCCACAAGCTAAAGAGCATTGCAAGCCCGCTTTCCTGCATTCGCATCGCGATCCACAACCACTTTTCCACAAATTCTATTTAGCAAATTTTCTGGAGCAGGTGGTAAAATTGTCATGATAGGCTCCAGAAAATCATTTCGCATTGCCCAACCCCATACCTGGGGTTCCAAATCATGTCCTAACCAAGTTTGAACTTGATAATATGATCTCCACTCTCTATCTCAAAAACGGTACACCGTATAAAAAAATTTTTGAAACAAAATTTGTAGAGAATTTAGTATTCTACAATATTGATAATAAATACAAATAGCAAAACCCCATAGGAAATGAGATATTTCCAAAAAAAGCGCAAAAAACCGATTTTTGTGACATTTGACCTTGAAATTTAATAGTTGCTTACACCCTACCATATGTAGGTTTTGAGACAACTTTTAGGGTGTCTATATACAACTATTTACAGACTTACAGCTGGGTATCTCGAATTCCGAGGTGAACTTACTATAATGACTGGACTATTACATTTTACACGCAAAGACTTCACTCCATCGCTCGCTCACCATAAATGTAATAATTGACGCATGAAGGGATAAATTAATGCGAATTGTTTTAAAAAAGCGGTATCATATATATATATATTGTTAGAAATGAAAAACATGGTATGATTTTTAAAAAGAAATGGTCGCCGGCCAAGGGTCAATTAATTAATATTCGAGACTAATTAGAGCAAAGGTTCTTCTCTTGACAATAGTTGAAAACAAAAAGTGTCCGATTGTCAGTAATGGCGCTCTTTATATAGGTGGCTTTAGGGTTGCCAGTATAATAATTATTTATTATTTAACAATATATATATACATATATATATATATATATATATATATATATATATATATATATATATATATATATATATGTAAATGAATTGCTGTTCCTTAATCTCACTAAAACTCGAGTACGGCTGAACGGGTTTACCTTATCTTAGTCTTGAAATGTTCTTGGAGGTTCAGGGAAGGTTTGAAAGCTAAAAAAAATTGATTTATTTCCGGGACGACCCTAAAAACAGCCCTTTTCTATTTCCCATACAAACGTTTTCTTTGACATTAGATTTGACAACTAACTAATATGTCAATCATTCTGTTCGATTGAAACAGGCGAAACCTGATTATTAATGGCCTCTAAAACGGAATAGAGTTCTCCCTGTCGGCTTACATATATTACTAATGACGAAACTAACGCGGACGAAGTCGCGGGCAAAAACTAGTTTAAAATAATAATAGTTTTATAAATAGTATGTAGTTTCTATGACATAAATTTTATAAATACTGATTTTATTGTTATAGAAATAATTTAATCGAAGTGTAAGCAGCAAAGAAATATTTCATAAGAGGAAAAATATCCAGTATAGTCTTAACTATTGCTTTTTTATTTTTACAATTCTACAGTCACAATACCGTCAGTAGTGAGTCCTTGTGATAGAGGTTACGTCCGGTTTCATACGCCATAGTTACGAGTATATCTTAAAAAGTTATGAGCGGAGGTTTCAAGGTATTCATTGAAAAACTTTTCAAACTTCCTAATTAGGGATAAAATCATTTTTTTTATAAAATCTATTCCTCATAAATAAAGTGTGCCTTTAAATTTACAACAAAAAAAAACCAATATAGTTGCTCTGCGCTCAAGAAAACAACTCTATAGATTGTTCAATAGACCTGTATTTCCTAGTTACGAAATTGAT